AAATGAACGGGGCCTGTAAGCCCTAAGTTTTAGGCTTTTAGGCTGAATGTCCGGGACGGGCCCTGTAGGCCCGTGTGGCTACGCAGTATGCCACAAGACCATATCGAGTTACTGAATCTTTTTTGTAAAAAAAAAAAAAAGAAAACACTCTTGCGGCTTGCTAGCAGAGCAGAGTGGGCCTAAGTAGATTTGAACTACTAACTTTACACTTATCAGGCGTATACTCTAACCAACTGAGTTATAGGCCCATGCTTGGAAAGACTTGGAAAAAAAAAAAAAAGAGTTACTGAATCTTCGGTCCCTGCGGGCCATCCACAGGAATTATGAAAAAACATATAGTGATCAAAGAATATGTTGATAGCGGACGCATTCATGACAGACTTGAGAAGTAGTGCAGGGCACAAAAGTGCACGACACAAAACAACGCAAGTATATCGAAAAATGATTGAAATTCGTTCTGACAACCCAAGATCGACCCTCGCGTCCAGCTAACCCGTCTAACGCTGCGGGCCGAAGCCAAATAGCGAGAGAAAGAGGTAAAATGGTACTCAATCATTCTATTTATACCATTGGTCCAAGTCCGTAAGGAGCAGAAGCTAGTCCCCGTCTTACCGGGAAAGTCCCGGAACAAGGCCAAAGCCCCAAGGACCTATGGCCGGCCAAATCCACACCACAACACACCAACGTCCCAGGCCAGGGACGAAACAACATCAAACCCAGGTTCGAACTCCTAAATCTACAACTGCGATGCCAAAAAACAGAAACAACGTGTGTCGTATCCTGGGCCTGCCGGTCAAAGACCTCAAGCTCAACAACAAAGAAAAGGCTAAATCAAAAGGCAAAATCAATGAAACAACTAGTCACTCAGTCCAACTCGATCCCATGCATCTAAAACTCCTACACCCTGTCCCAAGCAAAATCAATCCCACGGCCTCGAAGGGCACCAGTAGCCTCGCTTCTAAACCAAATCTGGTCGAAAAGACAACAGTAAACTTGTCCGAGCAGTCAAAGTCCACCCCTTATTCTTCTTCCTGTCTCATCACCCCTGCCAGAGATCCTTGCCCTAGTACGCAGGCCACCAGCCTTGATATGTAGCAAGGTCCGTTGTGACCAAGGCGCAGGTCCATTGCCAAGGTTCCTCGCGCCCATGTGAAAAACTTTTTAGGATCCTGTCAAAGAACTTTCCGGAAAAATTCCTCAAACGCAGTTCCTTTGTCAACGTTACAACTCTTCGCGGAATCTCAGAGCGAATCGTTGTATTCCTATCGATGCGATGCAGATAACTGCAAACCACGACACTCTTTTGTGCCTTGCTCCCCCATGAAATGAAGGACTGTCCGTTCAGGAATTCCAGATTCTCGGTATCCCAGATAGTAGCCTCATTCTTCGACAACTGTACACACTCAATGAAGGGGTGGTAGCAATTTACCCTAACTTCGCAACCGAAAAAGTCCCACACATTCCGTCCATCGTCAGTCCGTTTCAGCGTAAGGTTGCTGGGGTACGAGTGCTCGAAGGAAGCAAAGACAGCCGACAATGTTGTCACAGGTTCTCCCCCTGGCCACCACCCCCACGTCGTCAATCAAGCGGATCCCATGAACACACCTCCGCTGTTGGCCCAGGCTCTGAAGGAAATCAAACTCCGCTTTTGCGCACATGATGTAGGCCAGAGGTGGGCTAGTACTTTTTCCCATCGGAATTCCCACCTCTTGCTTCATCAAAATGGTCATCGCAAAAGTATACGTATGTGCCAACTCATACTTGACAAAGCGGTATATATCAAACAACTCCAACTTCCTCCAGTGATCGTACCCTGTAGTCAGACCGAAAGATGCCCTCCGCCCCCGTGTGTTGACCCTCACAGATTTCCTCCCCTTACTTCCATGATAGTCCAACAGCCATTCAACTGCATGCACAATCTCCTCGTGGGGCAACAAACTAACCATATCTTTGATATCATACGATCTAGATTCCACAATCTCAGCGCCAAAACTGCTCATCCGATGATTACCTTTCTCCACTTTCTTTGTCAGTGACATCATGTCTTTTAGGTTAAAGTGCCAATCCGCAGGAATGGTATAGAGCAAGTGGTTAAGTGCTTTAGCGACGACTTTGCTGGTTTTTGCCGTAGGTTCTAGGAAGGAAGGACAAATCGGTCGAAACCGGTTTGGGTCCTTGTGTTTGGGCAAAGCATAAGCTTGCCCAAACGTTCCTTTTTTGTTCCATCTCGCAAAATCCATGAGGTTAGCCGTATTCAGATCCATCTGCATTTTCTGGACGACTTTAACAGCATCTTCAGTCACCACAGAATAACCCTCACTTCGGATGAATAAGTTCATCATCCCTTCATGGTACAGCCGTGGGCACATCACCATTGTAACTTCGGGATTACGGTCCAAAGGAGTCAGCACCAATCCTTCCAGCTTCTTACCCCAGTCACGGACCTCATTCTGCCCCAGGCAAACGGTGGCTTCCTGCCGATCTTGTACACAAATTGTTAACTCAGTCATTGAAAAATTCACCTTCTGATTCTTAATATTAGTCCAGTTGTCAAAAGCAGACTCCAACTCCTTCCTCAGGCTGAGCACCCGATCCACCCTAGGTGGTTTCGGGATGTTTTTCGCATTGCCCAACAACCCTGGCACACCACCAAGCTCATGTAACCGAAACTGCACGTGACCTCTTACATGTGGGTAAGGAAGACCTGCACAAGTGCAGGCAGACATTTCAGCGTGAGCAAATTTACGCTGATTGTGCAATAAATCCGCAACACTCGGATTTTTAGTCCAAATGATGCGGATCTTAGATCGTGCACGCTTCTTCACACAAGGAGGTAGGCATAGCCTCCCCAACTTATCGTTAACTAGTTTCCTCACCTCCGCTAGTTTAACTCGATCATCATACAGAAGGCGAACAACAAGATTAGCACACAAGTTAAATCCGAAACAATCACGTATGCACCGTGCAATCAGGCGTCTCAGGTAAGTCCGGGTGGAATTACGCTCAAAATCCTTCACAAACGAAAGTAAACCAGAAAGGGAATGCAAATCCCATCTCTTCAAAGATTCATACCGTTTCGGGTTCTTTAACAAGGATACCAGGAAGGGTTTATTATACCTAGTCCTTGGTTTCCAACGTCGCAAGTAAGTCACCTGCACGCAACATCCTTCCTCGTTTTCAGTCTTAAAGTCTTTTTAAGCAGCCAGTTTTTCCGTTCACCCGGACCGGCGAAGCACCAAAAGCTTTACGCAACACATGCCATCTATCACTCCAGCAGTTGCCGCAACCGAAGACCAAGCTAAACTCACGGCATCCCTCAAAATCCTGCTGCTTCAACAATTCAAAAATCCGAATCGTCCAAGTCTCATTCTTCTGGAGTTTGACTTTTACGGGACGAAAACCTTTCGGTTCCACAACCCTGGGTATCCCCGTTCTATGTGCTCTCTCCTTTTTCCCTCTTCGTGCATTCCGCTTTCTCGTTCGTCCCTCACAACCGGCGGTGTTTAGGAACGGGCTCCATCGTTTAATATATAGCGATTCAATAGTAAGGAGCTCGCTCTCCTCCCCTACATCAATAGGAATGAGGGCATAAGTTTCCAAGCCGAATCTCAACCACCATCGGTAGAGGTGTGTTGTTTTTCCTTTTCTTTTCCACACAGACACGTGTTCTTTCCATCGGGTATCCGGTTCCCTCGACGTCTGTCCTATATACTGCGATTTGCACTTCAAAGATGAAATGACATAGACACAGCTTCGGTGAGTCAGGAAATCCAAGCCAAAGCGGGAGAAAAGATCGAGCCCATCGGCAAAATCCATGCAATGCGAGATATATCACAAGCAATCTAAACGTGTATTCGACATCAGGATTGGTGCACCCATGATAATGCCGGAAGGAAATCAACAACTAACTGATACGCAACCATTGTTCATTCATCAGACCCAGTCACTGCTCAGATTCGTTACCCGAACTCTCTTGACACGACTTATCTTCTTCATGGCCTTCTGGATCACGTGGATCCACTCCGGACTGAATAACCGGACCGAACCTTGCGCGAGCCCTTGCGTCAGCCAAGTCGAAAATGACTTGCACTTTCGTCGTATACGTAATGCCTTCTTCGCGGCAATATGCCCGAAGCTGCTCACAGTCCACTGTAGCCAAGTCCCTCCTCACTTGGTCTAGGAACATCAAGCGTTCCATCGCGAGATTCTGAATTGGCGGCTTGATGGCCGGTATGGCCTTTCCTGACGAAGCCCTTGCCGACTTCCTTATGACACGTGTCCTTGTTCGTTGAAGACGCTCCGAGAAGCGGAGCTGAAGCATGCCCGTTCGTTGGTTTGCCTTCATCGCTGGTGTGACGATCGGCGGGCTGTCTCCCACAGGGGTGTCTTCCCCGCACTTTCGTTTTTCTGTGATTGCCAAGTTCTCGGTACCAACGGTAATCTCTTCAACTTCACTTGGCTCACTTGCAGTCCCGGAAGAGGAAGGTTCTTCAATCTTCACCTTCCCTTTCTCAACGACCTTTCGAACTTCGTTCTTGATATCCTCCTGGATTTTGCTCAACGCAACGCCAACTGCAGTTCCACGGCCTTCGTCATGGCCAGTTGTTCTTCCTCCCGCCGTCGCTGTTTCTCCAATTTCTTCAAACAACGGGCCTCCTCGGCCATCCGTACATCCGCCTCACGTTGCCTTTCTTCCATCTCCCTCTTCTTCGCTTCTTCCCTCATCTATCACCTCTTCTCCTTTTCTTCACGCCGTATTTTCTCCATGTCGACGAAGTCTTTCAGACTAGCCACACTCTCACCCAGCTCCTCCAGTTTTGAAGTAGGTCTATGGTGATCTGCGCGCTGGGGGTCCATAGTTTCGTCTAGGCGATACGGAGCGGCCACGCTTGTCAAATTATGCCGGGCATGCATAGCCATCCCGATCCCCCTGGCTTCTTGACGCCGCATCCGCCCAAAATCTCCAGCAATCACTTCGGTAATGACCCGGTACCTTGCATCCGAAGCAAACTGGAGGCAGCCTACGCGCAGGTTCCACAAAGTCATTACGCCTCTCTCGTCCGTCTCGTTCATAGGCACGTCCACGGTCGGCCTCCTCGCGGCCTCGTCTCCCTTCCTCATTGTACCTATCTCGTCGGTCCCCCCAGTCTCGGACGCGGTCCCCACCGCCCATAGTTCTTCCGCATGCAGTAGACGGCCTCCCAGCCTCGGGGACGCCGATCAGTACGTAACTCTGCCGTGTTCACATAACCCACTCCTTCTCACATCCGCCAGGAATTAACACCCAAATCCGTAGCAATCTTGGTAGCTGAGCTCTTCGTAGCGCTATGCCGCCCTTAAAAACTCCGGTCCGTCAAACAAAATCGAAGAAGTCCCGTGAAACACAAATCGTCTTCAAAGTGATTAGCAATTGACAAGACGTGCTCACTCACTCCCAGCGATATCCCGGGTAGGTTCACACGCGCCTTAGTAGGAATTATGAAAAAACATATAGTGATCAAAGAATACGTTGATAGCGGACGCATTCATGACAGACTTGAGAAGTAGTGCACGACACAAAAGTGCACGACGCAAAACAACGCAAGTATATCGAAAAATGATTGAAATTCGTTAAGCTCAAGTACCGCCAAAATCGTTCTGACAACCCAAGATTCACCCTCGCGTCCAGCTAACCCGTCTAACCCTGCTGGCCGAAGCCAAATAGCGAGAGAAAGAGGTAAAATGCTACTCAATCATTCTATTTATACCATTGGTCCAAGTCCGTAAGGAGCAGACGCTGGTCCCCGTCTTACCGGGAAAGTCCTGGAACAAGGCCAAAGCCCCAAGGACCTATGGCCAGCCAAATCCACACCACAACACACCAACGTCCCAGGCCAGGGACGAAACAACGTCCCATCCACAGGACCCAAAAACCAATAATGCGAAATTTGTTACCAAGCTTTGATCTAACAGTCGTAGACTGATCTTGGAACAAGACCATACTCTTAGTCCAATACGACATAGATCCATATGTTCCGAACCACAGCCTGCTTAACCATTCCCAGAAGCCTCTAGCAACCACGCATTCCCACCAGAGGTGAAAAGAGTCTTCCCCGGACCAGTGATATGTTGGGACAGACGTCACATCCTGCTGGGATGTCCATACCTTTCTTTCTCTGTGCAGCAGGCTGCAGTGGGAACACAATTGTGCAGGGGTAACCACTGAAGCCCCGCCAACTTGACCTCTGGAATCTGCATGATGATGCTGATGAAGAAGTGGACCCAGGCCAGCCCTGGACTCGGTAGCTGCATTTTCTTGCATTGTCTGTTCCATGAGTGAGAACCATACTCTGATTTGGAGCGATGAAGATTTGGAGTGAATTTTGTAGCCAATTCGAGAAGAGTAATCAGGCAGTAGTACTGTGGTAACTGTTCTAGATTCCGGTGTAGTATTCCAGCCCATTCGCGTTACGTCTGCCCTCCAAGTACTGGAAGTCCGAGCCATTCTTCACTGGTGTGAATTCAATTTGGTTCTGCCGTCCTTTCCAATCTGCACCTTGACCCTCACTTCACAGCAGTGCTCCAAGTGAGTGTCTGAGTAGGAGGGTCGGAGCGTCGCAGTGTTCCTTTGTTCTGTCTCCAAGAGGAGACCTCTACTGCCTGCCTGGTGCCCTGTTTGGTTGGCTGTGACAGACCTTTCTTTGTTTGGTGGGTGTTTTGCTTGCTCGTGATGTTTTGCTTGCTTGTGATGGCCAGGGGCGTGAACCAACAGTCTGTAGAGTTTTCCATCTGGTGTGGGTCAGTGATAGTCTGCTTTGATTTCCGTCACAGGCACCTTGAGGGCAGTGGTTGGTGGTCCCCACTACCTCCTCAGAGGGGTATCAGTTGTCGGGCAGTCGTTGATGCTTAACCACAGCCGGGGTTAAGGTGGATTATCACTTACAGTGTAATCAGTTAGGGGATTCTGCAGACTGTTGAGGGTTCAGCCTCCTGATGAGTTGGTGAAACTCCGACGAAACAGTTTGCCACAGTCCCTCATTTGTTGTCCTCTTCTCCCTCTCTGCCTACGGTTTACCGGGCAGCTGTGTTTGACTATATAAATACATATATATATATATATATATATGACGATATATATATATATATATATATATCGTCAAATATATATATATATATATCGTCAAATAGAACTGCCCGGTAAACCGTAGGCAGAGAGGGAGAAGAGGACAACAAACGAGGGGCTGTGACAAACTGTTTCGTCGGAGTTTCATATATATATATATATGAGTCGGTGAAACTCCGACGAAACAGTTTGTCACAGCCCCTCGTTTGTTGTCCTCTTCTCTCTCTCTGCCTACGGTTTACCGGGCAGTTCTGTTTGTGACGATATATATATATACATATGAAACTCCGACGAAACAGGTTGTCACAGCCCCTCGTTTGTTGTCCTCTTCTCTCTCTCTGCCTACGGTCTTACCGGGCAGTTCTGTTTGTGACGATATATATATATGTAGGGGGTTGCCAGGCTGAACTTGAATGTACAGAGGCCCCTAAGCTGACCCCCGAACGTTCGGGCGTTCGGGTCCCCGTACGGACTTTCAGGTTCGGACCCCGCAAAAAAATTATTTTGGTACCTAAATGTTATTATTTTTTCCTGCAATTTTTTGTGTGAGTTCTTTGTGATGTAAGGTATCTCCCTCTTAATTTTGAAGCCATTCTGTGTAGCCAAAAAAACATGAAAAATCGGCAAAGATTGTGGTGTCAAAACTTGCTTGCCCACTCACTAATTTGTTCTTTCTCTCTTCTAACTTTTTGTTTCTCCTTTATTTTGGGGCATTAAAAAAAATATTATTTTTTCAAACTTTATTTGTAAATTTTCTATTATGTAAGCTACACATATATAAAATTTCATGGCATTTGGCACAGCCAAAAAAAAAAAGAAAAATCGCCAAAGATGGTGGTGTCGAAAACATGCTTGCCCACTCAATAATTTCATTCTCGTTTTTTTCTGGTAACGCATTTGGATGTAACGTTGAGGCAAATGTTGTTTATTATTTTATTTTTTTTTAACAAATCTCAATCATATTAGGGCCCAGTGCCCAAGGCAATATACACAGAGTAATGGGGTTCCAGATTCAGGGCAGTCAGGTCTCCAATCCTTCTACATAAGATGGAGCCCCTCCCCTCTAGCAAATAGTAGAACTAACAAAAAAACTGACAAACATCTACCAATATACCCACAGGGTCTCCTACGAGTTCCAAAATTCACTCCAAAAGATATCCATTAACAAAGGTTACGATCTAAAAAATATCCTAAACTACAACTATTGTAGGAAAGGTCCAAACCGAATGTCTCCGGTACAGGCATCAATGGATGCCAGGGATGGACAGCTTGCCCAGTGTTGTCGGAACCACCGGACTCCTGCGCGTAGGTTCCTTGATGAGCCAATCTTTTTACCCCAATCCAAACAGATGATATGGCGTATGTCCTTCTTTAGTCGTTGCATCGCTTGCGGGGCCGACGGGAGGTCTGCAGATCTGACCACAGCATTTCGTTGTCGCCATATTTGCCACAGAATAGCCGCCCTGACTGTTTCGTAAATATAAGTTTGCGGTTTGGTGAGATGTAACAGTGCCGTTCCCAGCAGGATAGCATTGGTGGACCACAAATCATCCCATGAAGTCGGAAGAGGGCAAGCGGTTTTGACGATTGTCCAAACAGATTGGGCATGTTTGCATGTGGCCCAAAGATGTTCCTGAGCAGATAGTGCAGAAGGGAGAGCCTTGTTTCCGTCGACGGTATAGGAAGGCAGCAGCCGGTACAGCATTATGCAGAATAAGCCAGAGCAGGCCAGCATGCTTAGCTACAGTCAGAGAGGGCAAGAAGCATCAGAAGGCGGTGAGGTTAGTTTGGTGGATAATCAGTCCATGTTTGCGCCATTTAGTAATGGCATCCCAATCAATATCTACATCAGGCAAGAGTTTGGCATATGCCATACGAGCGGAGTGTTGAATAAGAAGGAGGGTGTGATCAGAGCGACGACGGTATGACCAGTACCAGTCTCGGGGATCAAGGGTAAGATCTTTGGTGCAGTAGCAGTCCGATAGGGGTAGTAATGGACTTGTAGTCCCTCTTGATGTTGTATGGCACTGACTGCTGTCATTTGCTCCATTCCAGAACAGATGGAAGCCACTGATGACCTTTTGAGGGGGACACCCAACCCAGTTTGACCAGTGGTGAGTTTCCAAGACGTCATTTCCCATTCGGTATCAGAAAGTTGAGATTCAAGACGCCACAGTTGCTGTGTATGCATATCTGTAGCATCACGTAACCAGGCCCCTGGTAAATACTTTTGCTGGGCCAGGGCAGAAATCCATTCTTGAGGAACAGCCTGTTGAATGTTATGCAAGTTCAGTTGCCAGTCACGCAGTCCATGCAGAAGGTGTTGCATTTGTGTTTCATCTTTCCATGTGCAAGTGTGCTCATTCCACAGATGTCTCACTGTGGCAAATCCATGTAGATCCAAAGGATCCCGTGCCAAGCGGGGGGAAAGGCATACCATCAGCATTCAAGAGGCAAGGATTTTTGAAAATTGGTTGGGTCAACAGCCGATCATATTGGATCACGGGGGCTATCCTAGACGGGAGGATTGCACGCCAAGCGCCCAATATACCACGCCAAATTGGAGACAATGCTCGTTTTCGACAGTATTCGTCAGTGAACAAAGCGAGGTAGACGAGTTCTGGATTAAATGTGAGACCAAAATCTTGAGCAAGCAGGCATTTTGCGAGGGCCTTCCAAGTGGCCGATTCGTCTGCAAAGACCAAACGGATCGGCCATTTGGTAAGTAAGGCTCGCGTTTGCAGATCAGGATCCAAGACCGCCAGGCCACCTTTATTCTTTTTTTGAATAATTTTCATCCATGAGACTTTGGAGATAAATGATGGCTCTGCAATCTTCTCTTTCCAAATATAGTTGGCAGCAGCGCACTTAAGATGTTTGTTTACAGTTGGTTGTAAAACACAGATGGAATGCTCATACCACAATTTAGCAAACACAGCGTTGTTAATGGTAAGCACTCGGCCAAAAAGAGCAACACCTTTTGCTTTGACCCAGGAAGCGAGCACTGCGTTAATCGAATCAATAAGTTCGCC